GTAATTTTTATTTTTTAATTTTTTATGTAATTTTTTAATCTCTCAATTATAAAAATATATTTTTTAGTTTTTTATTAATTAATTTCTTAAATTTGTTCTAATAATATGTATATTTTTATCTTTCAATCTATAAAAAAATATGTATTTTTCATCCAACTTAAAAATTTAAAAATTAAAAAATATCCATATAAAAATACATATAAAAATGGATATGGGTCACTCTTTATTGAAATATGCACAATGGTTGGGATAAACAGCATCTTGCGCTACTGGTGGGCAGTCACATCTTTCTCGTACTGTCCCCTTCTCTCCGAGTTGCCCCTAGAGTTCTAAAGTTTTGTGCTTTCAAAAAAAGCATCATGTTTCTTTTGAAAATAGGCAATGAAAGAAACAGCGCCATGTGCTCTTGAGGGATTCGATCCGTTGGTACAGCTGGATAGGTTACAGTCAAAAACCCCACTAAAACAGTGGGTTGAAATGACCCTTTGCCGGAAAAATACGAGTAAAGTCAAATTAATATGAGAAACAAAGTTATCTGAAGATAATGTTTTAACTGGTATGGACATAAAGTGAAGGATTGAAGCTTCCAAACCAAGCAAATTAAGGCTGTACATACATAGGCAGGTGAATTGAATTGCCGAATATCGAAGATCATTTCCTCTTTACGATTCTATATGTCTGTGTGATCATTGAATTTCCTTTTAACTTTTCCGCTTTTTAAGTTTTCTCTTTAGTAGGCAGCAACTATTTCTTCTTCTTCTTCTTCTTCTTCTTCTTCTTCTTCTTTTTCTTCTTTTTAGTTAGAACTAAAATAATGTTTATATTACTATTAAAAAATGTTATAGTTATAATAATATGTGATATTATAAATTCATAACATGATGAGAAACAAAAAAAATATATAAAAAAGTCAAATGTTTAAAATTAGGTAGAATTTTAATATTAAAGAATCAAAATTAATATTTAACTTTTATTATTATGTACAAAAATTAAAAAAAGAATTATTCTTGTTGATTAATCAATATTTTTATTACTTTTACCATTAATTACTAAAAGAAGTAAAAAGGATAGTTACTAATTATATATCCATTGATGTTAAGGATGGTTACTAAATCTAAAATTGACTAAAAAATTTACTTTCATCATTGTAAAATCACTTTGTGAAAGCTTGTTTCATGTTGAATTTAGTTGAAAACAAATTTAAGTAATTCATAAGTATGTCAACTCATCTTCTAATTTTGTGACAATATTATACTTTTCATTGGCCTTGAATATTTTCAACAACAATTAAGGGCCCTTTTAGTAATGTTTTTTTATATATACATTGCCAAATTTTGAATAATAAAAATTGAGGTCTTAAGGTTAAATTAAATTTAAAATTAAATATAACTTGTGCGTATATGTTAAGTTTTATTAATTAT